CGTGAACTGAGGAAAGTCGGGCGATACGCCATCAGCAGATGCGAGAGCGATGAGGCGCATCATGATGGCAATGGACATTGACGTTTCCATATCTTGTGTTTGCTGTCATTGGCACGTTGACTTAAAGTATTAGTGTTAGTAGTCTGTAATCTGATGGCTGCTTAAACTTAGGTAAGCGGAAGAAGCAGCGCACTGGCCCGGAGTCAGCGGCGGTGGTGGGCGGCGACGACGAGATGAGTGACAATGAGGTTGTGGTTGTGGAGGATGACGAGAGCGCTGGCTCTAAGAAGACGGCCTGCTCAGCCGCCCCGATCAGCAGGAAGTGCACGGCAAAGGCGGCCGACGACAATGGATGCGAACAGCTTGGCCGATTTTTGGCTGCATGATTGCTTTGTTAAGGGTTTTCATTTTTTGACTGACTGTCGGGGCACCCAGGGTCGTTTAGTTTTAATTCCTTTTCCCCCCCTCCCCCGAAAGCCCCGCAACTCTTATACGTCGGGGCACTGCAACCGCTAAACGTCGGCGCCGCAACCGCTGCGCCGGGCTCTCGCCAAGTGAACCTAGGTTCGTTTACGGGTGTGTTTGGTGGCGAGGGGTACCCCCCGTCGGGGGGGGGGCTCTCGCCAACCGAACCTAGGTTTACCCCCTCCATTACGTACAGTGACGCAGGGGGGTAGCTCTCGCCACACGCTTGTAACGGGGGGGGTGGCCCTCGCCAGACGAACCTAGGTTTGGTTGGCAAGAGCCCCCCCCCGACGGGGGGGGTACCCATCGCCAGGGAACGCTCCCAGTGGCAAGATGTGTTTTACTTTTTGTCTTGCCAGCCAAGGCGGTGACGACCTGCATTGGACCTGGCCTGACCAGCCTGAGGACGAGCCGCGACTGACCTGCCAGTGAACAAATTATGCTTGGGCGGCTGTGAGCTGAAGTTGGCTAGTCACTAGTCTAAAATCCGGGGCTGGTGGCGCAAAACGACTTGCAAAATCACGTAACATAGCAACCCACTCCTCTCGGCCACAGAGCCGGTAGTCCCGTTCTTCCAGCGCCCTTGCACGGACATCACAGTACCCCCACCATGACACGTTCTCATTGGCATCCCATTTTTGCTGACCAATTCGCTGTCCATCGTGTCGGGAAGTCATAAAGCCGCCTAAACATAGTGCAGCGGCCACAGGATGTCAAGGATGTATGTGCAGCGGCCACGCACGTCCTTGTAGAAGGATGTCAAGCAACCTTGACCCCGGCTGAGCAGCAACAACCAGTCCACGAAATCCTTGATGACGGGGTCAGCAGCCTCATCAAGGTACTGCAAAGTCTGCGTCAGGCCTCTGCTGTCGCAAAGCGCGCAAAGTTCTCACGCTGGAATTCATTGTTGCTACTGGTTCCCGCATTTCCGGTGATTTTGAACTGAGCCGCTTCTGTAAGGTCAGGCACAATTCCGGAGAGTAACACTTATAACGCCTGCCCTAACCTTGTCTTGGAGTCCCTTGCCGGCTTTCCGACCGAGTGCGTCCCAAGACGCCACTGAGTGGTGTCAGCACCCACTCAGGCGACCTTGCCCGGTTCACCTTCAAGGGCCTGGATGGCACGATGACGGACCTGTTCATCCACCTGGTGGCCTACCAGCTGGTGACGCTCTCCGGCACGGGCGTCTCGGTGCTGGACTAAAAAATGACAAACAAGGCCCGCTGTCGTTCTTCTTCGTTTTTGAAGGCCCGCTGTCCTTCAACGCCGTTTTTGGCGTTTCCCCCCCGCTCCGCAAGCTCCGCCGTGGCCGCGCGCGCAATCTTGTCGCACAGCGCAGCAGGAACGCTGTAGCGCAGCTTGCGTGACTGGCTGACCCTCTCGTACTGCCCCTCCATCAGCCGAGGCCCCCGCTGCGCAGCCCGGAAGTGCCTGCCGTCCTGCCACGCGCCGCAGCGGCTGCCGGGCCTGCGCAGGCCTTGCCTCGGCCTCCAGCGCATGTTGGTCCACAGCCGCGTCTGCTTGCTTGCAGTAGGTCACGTCCACCCAGGGCAGGCGCTCCATGAACGGCCGGGCAAGCCACATGAGCGGGTCAAAGCCCTCCAGAAGCCGCCGCGGGCGCGTCGTCAGCGCGCGGCTGTGTTCCGTGCAGACCGGGCTGGCCCAAACCATGTCGAAGTGCAACGTTGTGTAGTTCCAGCTCCGGATGTCGCAAAGGATGGTGGGCTCAATTTCGACACGATGTCCAGGGAGACGACCTCCCAGCCCGCCGCCTTGAAGGCCCTGCCCACCGACTTGGTGCCGCAGAAAAGCTCCAGGAGTCTCAGCATTTTTAAAGAGCAAGATCACCGCCAGTGCGACGACCAAGAAAACTCGCGCGCTCATCGGACCGGATTTCTCCGCAAGATAAAAAGCCGAACTTTGCAACCATGAAGCTTGCACTTGGGCTGGACGTTTAGACCAATGCCAAGGGGGGAAAATTCATGCGTGTGGCTGCAAAATAATGACCCCTAGGCATGCGGTTTGGCAAAATGCCCAGCAGCTGCCTTTGTTTCTGCAAGCGAGCCCCCAAAGGAAACCGGCTGGCTTTGTTTGTTCTTCTGGCTGGCTGGCTTGGCTGCTGGCTGGTTTTGGTTGGCTTCTGGCTGGCTTTCTGGCTGGTTTTGGTTGGCTTCTGGCTGGTTTTGGTTGGCTTCTGGCTGGCTTTCTGGCTGGTTTTGGTTGGCTTCTGGCTGGCTTTCTGGCTGGTTTGGCTTGGCTTCTGGCTGGTTTTGATTGGCTTCTGGCTGGCTTTCTGGCTGGTTTGGCTTGGCTTTCTTTTTTTCCCTGTTTTTTTAGCTCGCCTTGCAGAAACGCAGCTGCTGGGCATTTTGCAAGCATATCTAGGGGTCATTATTTTGCAGCCACACGCCTGCACGCAGCGTTTTAGACTTCGAATCCTTCGCAGGACGAGGTCATTCCCTGGACGGACGAGTGCCAGGAGCCTCTCAGGTAGAATAGAATCCATTTGGAAAACCCCCTCTAAAGAGAGAGGCCACGCCTTGCGCGCACCACGCACCTGCAAGGTTGACGCACCTTCTGCTCCAGGCGGGAAGCAGTGCTACTTTCAGCAATTCCGGTTAAAAGAACTGCGGCCGCTTCGGACTTGCTTTGTTCTTTTGGGTGGTCTGGTTTGGGTTCAAGATAGGAGCAGTGCAACATGCCAAAACAATTTTTTACTTTTGGGGGCTGTGGTTTTGCTTTTGTCGTGTGGCAGCACTGTGAGGAGCTGAGTTTTGTTTTTTTCATGAGCCGTGAAACGTTCTCTCGTGTGGTTGTGCCGTGTTTGCGTTCTTTGGTTTGTGTTTGCCGTTGTGCTCGCTTATTAAAATCAAATCTTGACGCTTGAAACTGCGGACCTGCGCGGTCGCGAATTGCCGCGTGGAACAAAAAACGTGGCCGCGTTTGGTTCAGTCATTCCACCCAACTCGGGTCCAAATCTCTGGCATGTGCAAAGGGTAGCCGAGCTGCTTCAGGGCACTGTTTAAAAACGTTTCTTTGCTCTCTTTCTGTTTTTCCCTCCCTCCCTCCTTTGATTCTTCTTTCCTTCTTTCTTTCTTTAGTTGATTCTTTGTTTAATTGTTTCTTTGTTTCTTTTGTTCTTTCTTTCCTTCTTTCCTTCTTTTCTTCTTCTCGTTTTGTGAAGTTGTCTTTCTCAGTTTTGTCTTGCCTCTGCGTTATTTCTTTCTTTGGTTCCTTCTTTCTACTTTCGTTTGTTCTTTTTTTTTCCTCCTTTATTTATTTTGTTCTTTGCATGGTTTTCATCTTCTTTTTTTTTCTCCTTTGTTTTTTGCTTTAGGACAAAGCAGAGAAAGGAAACAAAAATGAAGAACACTGAAATACACAAAAATGACATATTTCAAGAAAGGAAACAAGGAAAAAAGAAAGAAAAAAAGAAAGAAAGAACATAAGAGAAAAGGAAGGACAAGGCACAAAAAAACCAAAGAAACACAGAGAAGGAACAAAACCAACAAATAGAGAAAAACAAAAGAAAGGCATAAGACACTTTAGAAAAAATGCACAAACAAAGGAGAACAAATTAAAGCAAACTACACATGCGTTGGACTTTTTCTATGTGCCAACTTTCGCCCACTGGTTCCGCCAGTTCTTCTGGTACGCGATGTGCGCTTGTCCAGCACTAGGTCGAAGGTCGCAACTTAGCAGCTCTGGCATGGAAAGCGCCGCTTTCAGTCCGAAAGTCGCGAGCTAGCAGTGCGGAAGGAATGTGCATCAAAAGGGAGACAGTCAATTGAAAAGGGGGATGCAAGCCATGGCAAATCAAACGACACAAAGCAGAACAAGAACATATAGAAACGTCGATAGATGAGTAAGATAGACCAATCGACAGACTAAATTAAAGAGACAAATATATAGGTAGGTAGATAGATACATACATATACATGGACAAATAGAAAGGTACGTAGATTCGTAGGTGGATAGGTGGATAGATGTATAGATGCGCATAGATAGACGCACAAATAGACACGGAAACAAGTAGACAAGTGGATGTGCAGGTAGGTACTGGGATGCAGGTAAATGGATAAGTACACAAATCAGTACATCATGCACAGATGGGCAAAAGGTTCGGCCTGGATACTTTTGCCCTCTCGCACGCGACCGCGTCGAGGCATTTGCAGGTTGCAGACCGCTCAGGCGATGCAATCTGGACGGCCAGCACCAGATTTGCCAATCAGCTTTTCTGGCCAATGTTGCTTGTGTGTGTAGATTTGGGGAGATGTTTGGGCTTTGGCCACAATGATCAGATGCATGCACTCTTAGGCTAGAAGCGAACCAGGCAAATTACTCTCCATTGTTGTTTGAAGAGGCGAACGTCACCCAACAATGCATCACTTCTCCGTTTGGCATGGCTCAGTCTCAAAGAAATCGTGAATTGAGCAACCACATTTGACTGCACCTGCTTGGCATAGTTAGCCTGTCTTAGCTGGTCAGGAAGGCAGATATTCAAACGCGAATACACGTGTTAGTCATTTTTGCTCGGGACTTTACATGTTCTTGTTGAAGCAAAACATAGCTTCGACCGACTTAGCATTGCGTCGGTTGACAATCAATGGTCGATGCCGCCTGCCTTGACGCTCTTTGGCCGACACGCGCTTTGAATTCTGGGCGTGCATTTGACCTTGGGACATCACCATGACCCTTGATAGGCGTTTCGAGTTTCAGCAGAATGCGCGGAGCCAAACTCCCGTTGAAAAGCTCAGGCCGAGACTGTGGCGGGGATTGGCTTGGTTCAGTGGCCTGGCATAGGGCAAAGACGGGCCGGACCTTCCATGACGTGAGATGTGTCTGGTTTGGTCTCTGGAGCATATCTCACCACAAGAGACTTGGATTTGGCCAGGCAAATGGACGTTGCAGATTGCCAGAGCAATCCTTCAGACTTTATCATGAATCAAATTATTTGTATTTAGTATTACTGGGATCAGTCGAAATGGGTGCACGGAGTTGTTGAGCTGAGAACGAGGTAGGGGCAGTGCTGAAGCAGAATGCCAATTTGCACTTGGTTTTCGTGCATGTTTCTCTGAGCTTGTCGGTGTACAGGTGTTGGTGCAATCTTGATTGAGCGCATGCGGGGGTGCGGGTTCCGGTGTGTGTGTGTGTGTGCGCGAGTGTGTGCGTGTGCGTCTCATGCATGTGCCATCCATTGCGCGGAAGCTTGACAATCTTGCAAGTCTCGGGTAGATCAAAAGGGAAGAGTTGGGCTGCACTGCGCGTCGGGCTGTTTGCCGAGCGCAAGGGGGCTGTGGTCAAAATTAAGCCAGGAATTGGACCGCAGGCTTTTGTCCATTTAGTCCCACGTTTCCTTCTCCCAGGCCTTGCGCCATTTTGAGTACGTGTAAAGGCATCAGGACTCGGACCGCAGGTTTTGGTCCACGTCTCCTTTCAGGGCCTGCGCCATCCGATTTTTGGGGCGATCCGATTCGGCACGGCAAGGCACGCGGCGGCGCCGAAGGCCAGAGGCTGGGCCTTCAGCGCGCTGGGCTGGGCCCGGGAGCCCTCCGTGGCGGCGGTGATGCCCTCCTTTGCGGAGCAGGAGCTCTCGAAGGTCTTGGCGGCTGCTTGGAGCGGTTTGGGATGCGTCGAGTGGTTGGACCCCACAGAAAATGTGGTCTTGTTCACTCGGGGTTTCTCCTGTCAGGGGTGTGGTGGATCACTCGGGGTTTCTCCAACTGTGGTTAGTCTTCGGGAGTTGTTTTCTCTTTTGGGAGGTTGGTCTTTGGGGTTAGGCCCGCTTTTTCTGTTGTATCGCAGGATTCCATTTGCCACGCAAGGCGGACCCCCAGGTTTTACAATTTTTCGTGGGCCAGTGGAAGGGAGATGTTTCAGGCAGGGAAGTGAATTTGGCTGGCTGAGATATGCGAGCTCTCACAACCCGGCAGCTTCAGTTTTTTTTTTTTTTTTCCGGCTGCGAGTTGGCCGGAAGGCATGGTATGGGACATCCCTGATCCTGTCAGGGAGCCATGCCTGGAAAAGTGTTGGTTTGTCCGATTTGTTCCCAGGGAGGGCAGGCAGGCCAGCATCAGCCAGCCAGGTCGGGGCCATGACCGTTCTGCTGATCTTGCTCTTCGTGGTGATGTTGGGCTGGTCTCCCTCGAAGTCGGCCCAGGAGGCGAAGCGGCTGCCGAGAGTCACCATCCTGGCGCTGGCCTTTACTGGTGGCCTGGACTTCTTTTGCACCCCGGCATGGATTTGTTGCTGTGAAAGCCCAAACCAACCAGCGACAAACACGCATCGAAAACAACCACCGAGTCACTCGTAGCACGCAAACAGCACAATGGCAACTGCACGTTTGGTTGCGCGTTGGCGCTGCAGGCACCGATCAGTTTCAGCCGAGCATGCCAGACATGGCCACAGACTTTGCGGTGCCGCAAAGCAAGATGAGCCTGATGATCCAAGCTGCTTGGCCTTCTCAATACTTCTCAGCTGCTCTCACTGTGAGCTGCCACTAAAAGGTTCTATATGGGATATGTATTGGAGTGGAATAGGGGAAAAAGCTCCAGAGACAAAGCTGTTCTTGCAAAGCAAAGGATTTACATTGTGCATTTGGCGCTGTGCAAGCAAGTCTTGAGATGAAGGCCAGACAAAGCCCAAACAAAGCCCGTTTGCACGAAACCCCGTTTGCACGAAACCCCGTTTGCACGAAAACTTGATTTTGTGAACATGGCTCCTTTGAATTGCGTTACTGGGTCGCCAAGTAGATAGGAAGCAACCAGAAGACTGCGGAAAGACTACGGAGAGACAACGGGGACGACTACAAGACTACTGGAAGACTACAGGAAGACTCCAAGGGAAGACTATGGGAAGCGAGTGCAAAAGTACACGACAAGAACCCTCAAGAATGAAGAAGTCCCTTTAAAGCGAAGGATTGAGAGATACTCCAGTTTGTCACATAAGCATTTTGGCTGCAGCTCAGTTGCGCTGCTTCTGCGGCCCCCGGAAGGCTGATTCAGGAAGATGAGCCCTCGGACAATGCCGCGTTTTATCTTCGTGTTTCCTGCTTCTGTCAGGTTCACCAGGTCTGCTGCGGCCTGGCGACTCTGATCGCCGCACCGGTGTCTGACCGGGTGGGCCGAAGGCCGGTGCTTTTGCTGCTGCAGATGCTGCTGATGGTCAGCACATTCCTCTGCGCCTGCGCGCCCAACTACGAGTGGTTCGCGGCTGGCAGGGTCCTGCAGGGGATTTCCGCTGCCTCGTGCTCCGTGATTCTGGCAATGACCCGGGATTGCTACGAGGATGAGGTGCCCTTGCAACTACGGAAGTTTTGCATGACACACTACAGGGCTGTTTCTGACGATGCTCTAGTCTGGGGCTCATCTTGCACCTCACGTCAATTCTTCCCTTGCTTGGTTTCTGGGTTCCTGGCTTCCTGGCTGGCTTGCTGGCTGGCTTGCTGGCTGGCTGGCTGGCTGGTGGCTGGCTTGCATGCTTCTTTGGATGGCGATTGTCAAGGCGCCCTTCTTTAGACGGCTTGTACTGCCATGTGGGCCATTCTGCAGGCCAGAGCTTCTTGTTTTAGTAGCTCCTGGCGCAGCTTGCGGCAGTGTTCTTGATAGGTAGGCCAACGCAGTGGAGCTTTGCCCTGTCAGCCTGATGCTTCTTGCATTCGACAGGTTTCCAGACCATTGAATGACTCGCGCTTTTTTATTCGCCCTGAGCATCGGTTGGCTTTCTTTCAGGTTCCCTGAGTAACTTAAGCCGAGGTGCGGAATCTCTCCAGCCATATGGGTCAAAATCAAGCCACCAGGAAGACCCGCAGGTCTTGGTCCAGATGTCCATTTGCCGGGGCTTGCGCCATTTGGGGGTTACCAACTATTTTGGACCACAGCCACCTGCACATTTCGACCACTTTGGGTTCTCCCAGGCGGAGAGGATGCAGGTCTGCGGCATGCTCTTCGCCACGATGCTCATGGGCCCGCTGGTGGCTCCGCCCATCGGCGGCTTTGTGGCGGCAAGGCCAGGCCATGCCAAGCGCTGGCAAGCAAGCGCGTTCGAATCCTTCGAATGCCCGCATGCTGAGTGGATTCCTGTTTGAGCTTTTGGAGGATGTTCGCAAATTCCATGCTAGCTATTGTATTTCGGCTGGAAAGAGCATTGCACTTTCCAACATACCACTGGAAAATGGAGATTGCTGACTAAAATCCAATGTCATTGGGAGACAGAATGAACAGTGATTATGACTCATGTCCTGAGACTTCAAATGTCCAGACTCTCACCATCCGCCCCTTGCAATCACGCAAGCCAGACTTTCGCGCCCGTGACATGCAAGACTTGGTGGAGAAAGCGGTATTTATCGCCTTTTCAGTTCTCTCGCCAGGTTCGGCTGGCGCTGCTCTTTCTTCCTTCTGGCGGCAGCTGCTGGCGCAGTGCTCGTCTTGAGCTTGCTGGTCGTGCCAGAGCGGCTGGATTGCGCTTGACCAGATCATTTGATCGGTGTTTTTGTGGGTCGACCGCTGCCAGGTGCTTGGTATTACCTTGAGATTCGGGAAGGTTGCGCATATCGCCAAGGTGTCGAAGTCCCGACAGCTGTGAATGGCCTGCATGAGGTTCCTGTATACTCCTCAAGCACATGCTGGGGGAAGTAAGGTGTTAGTGACTCCTTGGGTGCAGCTTTCCTGGAACGTGTTGTCATGAAACCATATTCGGGACTTTCCCTATTCGACTGTGCGAAAAGTGCAGGCCAGTCTCGGGCAAATGGCAGCAATATTCCTACAGTGTTGACATACTCTCATCTGCGCAAGAGTGCTTTGTTTGGTCCCTCATGTCAGCTTGGTTTCCGCCGCTTTGTATACATATATATATATATACACGCGCATATTTGTATGCCTGTTTGCTCATATGCATGTGAATATGTATGCGTATGCAATTGCTGTTGTGCAGGTGTGGGTGTATGTGCATATGTATGTGCATGTTCTCGTGTATGTGCATTTTCAGTCGTGTGAATGTTTATATATGTGTTAATACACGTGGGGGTGTATGTGTGTGTGTGTGTGTGTGTGTGTGTGTGTGTGTGTGTGTGTGTGTGTGTGTGTGTGTGTGTGTGTGCGTGCGTGTGCGTGTGCGTGTGCGTGTGTGTGTGAACGTATAGAGGCAACGACATGTTTGGTATGTGTTGAGTTTACCTCTTGTTGCTTGCTTATGTCTCGTCTGGAAACACAGGGCCGCGTCCCTCCAGGAGTCGCAATCCTGCCTGTCCTTGGACATTGCCTTCTCAGTGATGTACGCGTGGATTTCTCGGGGTGCTCATGTTTACTCGGTTCTCTTTCTCTTCAGTTTCGTTTCATTGTCGGTTCGTTCCATCTTCAAAATTATAATATTGTCATTTCATTTCCATTTCCAGGTGTAGCTAATTCCACTCCATTCCATTCCGATCCATTCTGTTCCATTCCGCTCCTTCCACTCCACCCCACCCCACCCCACTCCACCCCAACTCCACCCCAACTCCACCCCACTCCACCCCACCAACCCACAAGCCCACAATCCGGCACCTGGGAAGCCCCCTTCCAGAGGTCCAGCGGCCTTCCGCTTCTTTCGGCCCGCCCGAGGACCGCGCCCAAGGCCTCGCAGCAATCCTACTGGGCGGCGGCCTACCGGACCCTGGCCAACAAGCGTCGGCTGTACCTGCTGGCGTGCATCGCGCTCTTCAAGAGCACCTTCTGCGCCTCGTAAATCGCCGAAGCGGGGCGATCCCTTTTCATTGCGCGCAACTCATTGGGGAGTTGCGGGAGTTCAGGCAGGGCGAGGCTTCGAAGTTTGCAGCGCGAAATGTGGGCACGGGTTCGGGCCGTTGTGCGAAACCGCGCTCTCGCTGCCATGCCGCTTTCGCGCGCATTTTTGATGGCAGGGCCACAGTCTACGGGTGTTGTAGCTATGTGTTTAAGGGAAGCATCAAAGTTAACATGCTTTTTTAAACAGACGCCGCAGAAGCGCTTCATCTTTACAAAGGTGGCTGTGGATATCGTTGCGGGCGCAGCATTTCGTGGCTTTGCAAGTCTTGAGCGAAGGGTGAGCTGAGCCTCGTGCGAGAGCAAGTTTGGTCAGGGGACCCAACAAGTGGCCAACAAGGGCACCCTCCAAATAAAGACACGCCCATAGCACGGGACCAAGACCTGACG